GATTACTCAAGTGATAATGGGCTGTCCATGGCGTATGAGGCTTGTGGCAATTGAGCTTGACCTGCGTTAGCAAATGACGTTTGCTCAACAATGCGTTTAGAGAGCCAGAACCGAAACAACAGAGAATTTCGTCTTCTTTTCAATGTGCAACATTTTACAAAAGAAAATCAAGCGCTGAACAGGCAGCATATATGTTGCTGCCTCTGGAAGAATCACGTGATTTGCATTGAAAATGACTAAAATTGGACAGAGACATTTTAACGTCATGTCATTGCACTGTCGAGCTTCAAAGTCCTAGATTGATTTGCGGGTCGACGAATAACTTCTAATGACAATTTTTTTTTTTAAATGACAGTAATTAATATTTTCAATTATTTAATTCAATAATCTCGTTCATTGACGAATACTATAATAGAACATCGGTAAACTAGTTGCTGAGTTTTAAACTCAGAGTCTGAGTTCAAATGGATTCACAAAAAGATGAATATCTGGTGGTTCAAGAGATTCGACCATTAATTAAACAAAGTTCGGAAGTGGCAAATTGTTGCTAGAAAGAGAGTTGAATGTCTTGTCACAATCACAGTTTGTCGTGAGTGTGTCAACGCTCAAACTGCAAATTACAAAGTCTGTCATTTCATTTGTGTTGGTTTCATCATCTCTTCTTCTTTCTATATGAACGTTATTGAAAAACCATTTCACTCACTCTCTCTCTCTCTCTCTCTCTCTCTCTCTCTCTCTCTCTCTCTCTCTCTCTCTCTCTCTCTTCCTCTCTTAATTCGCTTAAAACACAAAAAGCCATTATTATGTGCAAATAAAAACCAGATGTTCATACTGTCACCAGAGTGCTGATAATTTCTGAGAATTAACTCATTCGACAAATTAATGTTTTTTTTTATTTGTCGCTGGATTTGTTTTTTTTCCTGCTGTTGTTTCTGCTTTATTCATTCAGTTGGTCATTTTATGACCGAATCATTCTCAAAAGGGTGGAGAAACCCCAATCAAATAAAATTAAGGGGCAAGAAAATGGGAAAATCCAGCATAAATTGTCATTCATGTTAGTTAATTGGGCTATTGCCCTGAAAAAAATGCCGCTACTAAATTCGTTATAAATTATTTCAACCAGCCCTATTGAATTTGGATTTTGGTTATTGAAAGAACCTTATTGCCGAACTGTTTGTCGCAAAAATGCACAGCCACGCCGATTTTCCTCGGTTAAAAATTGCACAATAACAACGATCATTGCCGCTGTTTTAATTCTCAACGCGCGTGCTCTCAATTTCTCACGCATCGAACGAGAGAGCGGTAACGGTTTGCGGCAACGGCGTTGACACTGCTAGCGATTCGTGTTTGTGTACGTTTGTTGTTTTTTTAATTCTCAGAATTCTAGTCAGCATTCGGTTTTGCCTGAAATTTTTCCATTATACCTTATCTACGTTGTACTTATTAGCAAATAGAAACCGAAACGCCTGGACTAGAACAATCAGCGATAAAAGCGACTAAATGACAACTGCGCGCGCTTCTTCGCTTTAATAAACTAGACAAAACAATGAAGTCAATGGAACGCATACACACACAAATACACGCGAACACACACACGGTGAGGCGATGACGACGAAAGCTACAATCACACTGACTACAAAAACAACAACAGCAATCGCAGCAGCAGCGACAGCAATGAGAGTTACAAAAGCAAAGTGAATTGAGCATTTTGTGTCATTGTTGTTGTTTCATATGATCCACTTGCAATTCAAAGCAAGATTGCAATCTTATAATCTTATCAAACTGGCAAATCGTTACATTAAAAAAAACCGCCAGCAAAATGTTAATCTATTACACCGTGTTTAGGCTGTCTTTATCTCTCTGTCTTTGGCACACACACACACACTGGCTGACACACCGAGTGTGGTCTCATGTCTCTTTTCTACCAACTGCCAGTGTTATCTGTCGCGCAACGACTCGTGCTCTATCTATATCGCTCGTCTCTGTCATACACACACATACACACAACCAACATGTGATATTCACATTAGCTTTTTACACATTTATATAATGGCGCAAAATATAATAACCCATCATGATAATGATAATAAATACCTGAACGAAATGGTCGTCGTCGTTGTCGGTGGTGGATCTGTGAGAAGCAAAGTACAGTGTGGCGGCAAATTATGGAGACCCGAGCACCGACAGCTCCATTGTGATTCGCGCACACGTGCCGCAAATGAATTAAAACACAGAAACAAACGTAACAAAATATGTGAGCGGGGGCGGGAGAGAAACGAGGCAAATAACAATAATAACACATTTGATGAGACGAGAAACAACAACCAGTACAATGCACGGGCAAACAAATGGTTATGTTCACTTATTTTATTTTTTTTCTATCGCTCACGTTATGACGTTTTGGAAGAAGAAGAAGAGGAGAGAAAAAAAAAAACGTTTTTATGTGTACGCTCGTGTTGATTGTCATTTCGTTTGATTTAAATCATTGCATGTTTCGAGAGATCGATTGTGTGTATGTGCGGCGGCCGCCCTGTCTGTGTCACTCGTGCTGCGCCACTCACACGGGCCACGGAATTGCACGGCGGCAATTTTCGATGAAACTCGTTAAAATTCATCAGTTTGTCAAGTGGCCAATGACAAACGTTCAATTGCACACCACAGAGAGGGCAAGAAAGGGAGAGAGAGAGATGCAACGCTTTGCGATGCCTGTGATTACACATTGACGAATATCATATGGAAATTTCCCGGTTGCACCGCACTGTGGTCGTTGTTTTTGCACAGGATGAATGCAATAAATGCACTGATACATCTTGAATTCAATTGAAAGTGTGACGTGTGCAGTATTCCTTAAATTGCAATCAATTAATAAATGAACGAATAAACGGATCAGTTGGTAAATTGAAGAAGAAGTAAAGCAAATCAGTCGCAATTTAATATCCGTTTTTTTTAAATTCTCTCTTCACTCTCCACCTCTCTTCTCCTATTGAAGTAATTATTTCAACGTAATTCGATGGAAAAACAATTATTTTCTCCGTTTCAATGACCAATGCGGGGCTGTTGTTTACATGATACGCTCACATTCATTTCGAGCCTTTTTTATGGTTCATTTGGTCATCTGACAAGATTTGAATGTATCCATTTGGTATTTTCCGGGCTGGAAACGACATTTAAGTAGTAATTTTGAAAAATATTAGATGAATTTTTCAAATTTCTCTGCTACTGAAATTCGAATTGTTAATTCAACATCAGGCAGTTAATCACCATATCGTCTAATTTTATCGTCGTCTTTTCGTCTCCCTATCATTGATTAATGGATATGCTATGATGGTGATTATCGTTAATATTCTCTTTTTTGTTGATACTTCTCTCAATGACGTTTGGAGTCTCTGACGTCGGGAAAGTTTTTTTTATCCGGAAAATTTTCCCCAAATTCATTCAAATTAGACAGGCGAAGAGGGAAAAAGAAGATGATTCTTTGATTAGTTTCAAATGTGGAGGAGCAAATGTGCTTCATGAATATTGAATCATATATATGTTTGTGACGCATGCCACATAAAAAAAAACAAATTCCATGTATATGTATTGGCAATGTCATATTTGGTTACGTATTTACAGTTATAATCCATTTTTCTTCTATCCAACATTTATGCGCCAACACCCTCGACGGCGACGAAGACCACCGACAAAGACTACTGACATAGATTTTTTGTTGTTGTTGTTTTTGTTTTTACATAAGGATCACATAAACAATGTACAAAGCGCGAGACAGAAACAATGGCAAAGTAATCGAAAATACAAAGTTGTTACAAATCTAGACAGAGACACACGCAGAGCGAGAATGGGGAGGGGACAGGCAGAGCATGAAAATGAGCGAAAGAGAGAATGAGAGAGAGAGACCCAGAAAGAAAGAACTAACAAGAACACATATTTAAATGTGAAACCATATCGTATCCATAAACAGAACATTAGAGGGAAACAATTTTCTATGTTTTGATGTAATTGGGTCATGGATAAACCGGTCAGTTACACATTTTCAATATGTTCCGAAATAATGAAAAAAACAACAAGAAGGTCGGGTGGTGCACGGTGGAGATGGGGGATACAGAGAGATAGAGTAAGAGAGAGTGAGAATCGCTCACTGAGCGATAGAAGTGTCCATCAAGAGAGAAAGGAAAAGACAGAAAGAGAAGGAAAGAGATAGACACAGTGAAAATTGGTCAAACGAAATGCGCTGAGTTGAAAAAATGTGATAAAATCCATTTCGGAGGAGGGTGGATTTTTTTACACAGCACTTTCAAAAAAGTTCATTGATACGCGGCAGAGATTTCACTATGGCTGGGTCATTCGGTCGATAAACGATTACAACACTAACAACAAAAAACACGTATGAACAACATCGACCCTAGCATCGACCAACAAACTAAATATTGCTTTATCGATTTTACCCTTGATAATAATGCGTGCTTGGCTCTTGTTATCATCGGCCAATTTTCCGAAGCAAACCCTTTGCATGTGAAACCATTGATCATATAACTGATTGTTTGTTAAACAAACAAATAACTGGTATTTATGCTAGTTACTCAATTTAATCAAATCACTTGACTCACGTGGCTCGAGAACATCAAAAATCGATATTTTACATTCCAGAATCGTCTCTCTTTTATAAGGCTGTAGTCATAGCTGTACCGTTATCCTTTTTCATGAGTTTTTGAGGTAAATGAGTTTCTTCAGAAAGTCAACCGTTTTTTTTTTAGTAGGAATCGAACTTTTCGCCATGAATTAGTTCCCAGAAAATAATCAAGATGTCAATTTGACGTCAAATGATTGAGATTTTGGCGGTGTATGGGCACATTCAAATTTAAACGATTTTTTTCTTTCATAAGAAAAATTGAAGCGAATCGTTTTCAATCGATATTGTTTAAAATAATCAATTTTCCTAACAAATCCTGCTTTTGAACCATAAAATTAATTCCCCTTTTTTTTCTCTTCAATCGAAACAGGTGGCAATCAAAATTATCGACAAAACCTGCTTAGACGATGACAATTTAGCGAAAACCTATCGTGAAATATCAATCTTAAAATTGCTGCGACATCCGCACATAACTCGGCTGTACGAAGTGATGGAATCAAAGAATATGATTTATTTAGTAACGGAATATGCGCCGCGCGGTGAAATTTTTGATCATCTGGTGGCCAATGGACGGATGAAAGAGGAGGAAGCGGCACGAGTATTTGCTCAAACCGTATCGGCTGTGGAATACTGTCATAGAAAGGGTGTTGTACATCGTGATTTAAAGGCAGAAAACGTGTTATTAGATAACGATATGAATATTAAGGTGAGTGTTTGGTGTGTGTGTGTGTGTGTGATTTATGTATATATCGATCATCATAATAGAGTGTCTGCAATCGAGTGGTATAGAAAAAGGTGTGCGAAAGACAAAGAGAGAGAGAGACGACGACGAGAATATAAAGTTCATTGGCCTCTGTCGTTCTCTCTAATCGCAATTCAATTTTTTTTTTTAAATTCATGTCTCTCTCGCTCCGAATGTGTTGTTGATTTTTGTTTCTGTTTTTTTTTCTCCCTATCTCTCTTTTCGTTGATTGTTTTGTTTTGCAGTTGGCTGACTTCGGCTTTAGTAATACATTTGTACAAAATACATATCTCAAAACATGGTGCGGTTCACCGCCATATGCTGCCCCAGAGGTAAGTGCCACTTTGACGTCAATCACATTGTTATGTGTTTGTGTGCGGTTTTCTATTCTCCTCTCTTCTGCTGCTGCTGTTTTCTTTTTCGCTACCAGAAATCAACTATGTGTGTGTGTATGTTTTTCGTTTCAGGTTTTCTTAGGCCTTGAATATGATGGGCCGCGAGCCGACATTTGGAGCTTAGGTGTAGTTTTATATGTCTTAGTTTGTGGTGCTTTGCCGTTTGATGGTGCAACGCTGCATGACCTACGGAATATGGTTGTGTCAGGGAAATTTCGCATTCCATTTTTTATGTCACAGGGTAATTTGGATTGACATTCAGTATCTCGATTTCTTTTGCTTTGCTTCTTCGACATTCTTTCTTTCTTTCTTTTTTTTCTTTCTTTCTTTCATGCCGATGCTTTTTGTCGTCTTTTTTCTTTCTTTCTTCGCGATTATTTTCATGGCGCATACATTTTATTAAGAAAGAATGGAAAGAAGAAAGCAATAAATCAAACATTTTTACTTTGATAAATGGGCGAACTTTCAATTTGGTCGCTTTTTTTCCCCCAATCAATACCAATCGAAACCCATTCAAAAGTTATTTGAACATAAAAAATGTGTCCATTTCAGATTGTGAGCACTTAATCCGGCATATGCTGGTGGTGGAGCCGGAAAAGCGATACACATTGAAACAAATATCACAGCATCGATGGATGCAGTGCCGATCGCCATCGATCAATGAGGATGGCAGTAATACAACGCCAACAACGACAACAGCCGGCGCCGGCAGCGAAATTATCACGGAACTACCAGCGAAAAATTTAGATTCCATTGTAGTCAATCATATGTTACAATTGCCAAATTTAACATTCGATGAAATTGCCGAGTCGGTGCATCAAAATACATTCAATCATATTTATGCTATTTACAATCTGCTAGTGGATAAATTGCAAGCGAAACGCAACGAACAGCAACGTTTGCAACATCATGCCAGTTTAGGATATACAAAGTACGTGTTTTTTCTTGTTCCATTCCAATTTGAAGCTGGAATTTGGCAGTTTTTTTTGGCTTTTTGGATCTTTTCAAAAAATGTTCGGTTCAAAACTGCTTTAAGATTGAAACGATTTCAATGTTGATTATTTACATTCGAATTTCGAATCTTTCGAACAAAAATCAAGTTGAGATTTTGATTTTGATCGACTCGATGTTTACCAATTTTAAAAATATTTCTCATTTTTCTCGATGTTTACCAATTTTGTTCTGCATCCAGATCGCGAAAAGCAAGTATTACGACGGGAGTGGTGGAACGAACGGAAGCGTTGAAAAATGAAGCGCTTGATCGTTTGAGTCCGTTGAGTAATTCGGCCAATACGTTTGTCACATTCCCCGGAATCAGTGATTCGAATCATGAGCTCGAGAAATTCGTTGACATGGACATTGATACGCAACATCAAGTGGTGACACCGGAATTCAATTCAACGGGCGGCATGACGTATTCACATTTAGGAACAAATATGACATCGGGTAGTACACGACGGCATACCGTTGGCCCGGGTGATGTTGAACACGAACAAGCACTCGCCAATCCTGCTGCCGTTCCAATCAACTTTAAATTTGGCACTGATAACGCGCCACGGCTGCCCGTCAATTTGCCAATGATGCAAAATCAACCGTTGCACAATTTTACGATCAAAAATCAACACCTGCTCAAATTGCCCACTGTCATGGAAGCGAGTAAGTTATCAAGCATTTTTGCTTGAAGCCCAAAATAAGGCAAAAAAAGAATAAGAAAGAGAAAAAGAAAGAAGAAGAAGATTACTTTCGTTATTGACTGTCTCAATTGGACTTAAATCAAACAAAACGGCTTAAACAAAAACGATTTGTTCAGCAAAAACTAATTCAACACCCGAATTGAAATAGATAGTAAAACAAGGTTTACAAACAGACCAATGAATAAATTGACAAAAGCGAATGGCTTGGCAAAAATGGTGATATAAACAATTTTGAACGATAAGATAACGATTATTGGTGAAAAAGAACGAAAATTTATCGTTGAGACAATGACTCGTCAAGTCTGTGTTTGTTTTTTCTTCAAACTCCGATTTTTATCGATATTCAGCGAAAGTATTTTTCGGTTTTCCCTTTCTTTTTACGATTTAAAATCATAATAAATCGATGGAAGATATACAATAACAATGAAATGAGTACTAAATCGATTGATCAATTTGAAAATTTAGGTTCGTTTGGTCGTCGAGCTTCGGATGGTGGTGCAAATTTACAGATTTACTACACAACATCGGCGAGCAGTGGACAATCGGTGGAGCCAATCTATGCCAATCCAGCCAATGTAAAGGATCTTCGAATCGGTGTCGACTCAATGCAACAGCAACACAATGACAACATGACTGTCACGGTCGAAGGAAACGACGAACCAAATGACGAAATTCAAAGGTAATTTACTTTTCAATGGTCGCTGTTTTTTTATGTTTTGTTTAGAGGATTACATGAAATTGTAGCCTTTGCCAACGGAAATGTTACTTCCGAAGGATTCGTATTAATTGTTATGAAATTGTTAAACCACAGATACATGCACGGTCGTATGTGCTCGAAAACGGAAGAGAATGGTGCAGTGGATTCGTTAGAAATGCCAGTGCCAACAACATCTGGAGGACGAACAAGACGAACGGGTCTGTTGACTGTCATGGAAAGACCTCCAGGTAAATGCAATGTCGATTATTCATCCATTCGTTTGTGTCCATTCCATTGCCAATCGACCCCAAAACAACAACAAAAAAACAACAATCAAACGCTTTTACACCTTTTGCATGCCAAATACACTGCACATTGCATCCATCCCTCATCATGACGCTACACATACGTGGCGTTCAATTACTTGTCGTAGATTTTTGCAGTATCAATGCTTCACCCAATTTTTGTTTATGATTTTTTTTTACCACCAAAAATGATTTTTTTATTGATTTTTTTCCTTATTTTTTTTCTTTTTTTTTCTATTTTGTGTGCTTTTTGATTATCATTTAACAATTTGGCGTTGTGTAAACAAACTTCTTTTTTTTCGTATGACCAATCGGAAATGTGCACCACCAAAAATCAAATCCAACAAAATTGTCGTTGTTGACTCGCAAATAATTACGAATTAACAAAATATTCATACGATTTTTGTTTTCGACAAAAAAAAATTAAATCGAAATAACAACAAAAAAACAACCGCTTAATTGGCATAAACTAACACGTTTCGAATGAAAAAAAAATCCAATTTGAAACACACACAAATCCAAAAAAAAACAGTCATAAGTGATGAGCTGATTCGCGAAGTTGAAACTCGTATGAATCGTAATTATTTGCCACCCTCACTAAAATTGCATTGTTCGAATAATGCTGGCCAGCACAGTCCACCCACGGTGGGTCAATGCTCCCCGGCAACAAACACTTCGGCTATGCTAACCGCCCGAAGAACATTTGGTTCACGCGCATGTAAATTGCCGACCGTTCAAGAAGTTGGTAAGTGTCGTACTGTTTTTTTCTTTCTTTCGTTTATTTTTGAATTTTTTTTTCTGTGTTCGTTTTTTTTTGTCTCCACAACACACACAAACCGTTTGTTTTAGTTTTTCAAATTTGGTTTTGCCCGTCCCGTTTTATTTTTCCCAGTAGTATTGTTAGATAGTTTTTGCGGTGCTTAGCGATTATACTCATGCTATTGATGTTTAAGTGTTGGTTGAGTACAAAATACAATTACACACACACACAAGTAGATTTTGAACATTCGCCATACATGTTTTTGTCCGTTTTCGTCCATCGCGCACCAAATCCAAGCAGAACATAACTCTCAATGGAATTTTGAACAAAAAAAAGTGAATTAAAGTTAGTGAACAAAAACAATTCATGAAGAGATGATCAACATTTTAAATAACAAAAAAGGCAAAATAAGCTTAATTTAAGACGAAAGAAATCGCAATCGCATTGCCGATTGAAACAGTTTTACGCCGGTATCGAGGATAATGTTCAGAAATTCTGAATGAATCAGAATTAAAGCCAATGACTCTCAAGTACATGCCGTTTAAATGCGCCGTTTTTGGTTTACTTGAACTGTTCTTGAATGAAGAGATACAAAAAAAAATTCATTCGTTGACATTGTTTAATCTCAAGTTTTATACTCGAATACAGGTCGATACAGTCCCGTTCGACGAGCATCAGAAGGATCAAAGTATCAGCCATTGATCCATGGCCCATTGCAAGAATGCCAGCAGCTAATTCAACAGCAAAAGAGTATGGCACATCGTAATTTGTCATCGACACAAAGTCCGCCACTTTTGGATAACTCTTCCAGTTTACCAGGTGAGTGATATTGTCTATTTTTCTGTCAAGTGGTGTTGTCTTTTCGAATTCATGATTCAAACGGGAAGAAAGATTCAAAATGTATTTATTATTTGATCTTCAGGAGAATTTAAAAGTCTCCTGGAGGGACAAAGCTTTCAATTCGAAATCGAATTTCTCAAGAAATTTTCTGATTTTAAAGACTTCAATATGTTCGATATTCGTTCGGAAAGAATCGACATTTCTTTTGAATTATGAATCAGTCACAGTTCCATTTCTTCTCCTTTTCTAACTAATCCAACTAACGGAAATTTTTGTTTTCTCTCTCAGCATCTCCTGTTCACGTTAGTCGAAAAATTGACGAAATCGATATACCGAATGAGGCAATGACAACGGTCTATGCAACGCTCGAAAAATTGGTGGCCGAAAGTCAAATCACGATGGATTTGTTCAATCGAATTGTGTTCACCCGTAAAATGCCCATTGAATTGGCTCAGTATTTGGGTGTGGATATGCTGGCACAGCAACAAATGCCAGCAAATGCCTCAACCATACCAGTTAGTTTTAATCGTGGATTTTTTGTAGGTTGCAGTAGTAGTGGCTTAAATTCACCCAACTATGGTGCCACATCGCCCAATCATCATGTTAGCGGCAATTTATCAACGTCACAGAATTTTTCCACGTTTGACAATACGAATAGTGCTAGTCAGTCACCGATTCATCATTACAATTTAAGTGGTACATCGTCACCGAATTCATATTTAAATGCGGCCACCGCATCGCCAATGCATCAAATTACAAAAGGTATCAGTGGCCTGACGACGGGCGGTGGTTCAATAACACGGGGTACATCGCTTGCATCGGAAACGGCATCGAATCAACCGTTGGATTTAACCACGGAAAATAAGTGAGTTTCATTCTTCTTCTTCTTCTTCTTCTTTTTCGAATCAAGTTGAACCAAATTATTAAACTAATCGATGTACCTGTCTTTGTCCTACAGTAGTTCATCGAATGCGGCACCGTCATCGAGTACGGTAAACACGGCCGTTGGAACGGGTTGGTATGTTCCGGCGCAATTTTACGATTTGAAACCGTTGAATCTATCGCCGGCACAACCGTTACGCATCGTGCCAACGCCGCCAGCCTCACCAAATCTGTGCATCATTCAGGAGGAAAATCCAAATATGTCTTACCAGAGCCAGCAGCCACCGGAATCGGTGATTGCACCGCATTTCATTCAAATGTCATCGCCCGGTGATGATTGTATGATGTTGCATTCGCATCCGCAAATTTCGGTGACCGATGTGCAAGGCAGTGAAGTGACGCTGATCGCACATTCCGATCAAAGTCATGACAGTGAAGATTCACTGGATGCGCAGAGTTCGATGACGATGCAGGGTCTGATTATAAGCGAACCGTCAAGTGATATGCCATCGATAACACGTGGAGTGGGTCGAAAATCCAGCTTGGAAATTGAACATCGACAGGAAACGTATGAACGACGTGGCAGTGATAAGTCATTGGGGTTTAGTGATGATAGCCTGAGCAACGATTCGAATATTGTGTCACCCGGACACGAACAATCGGTCGCTAGCTCTGGCTTTAAAAGTGGCGATTCGGAAATTACCGAATCCAGATTGTCACCCGATTCTTTGTCGGCTGACAGCCGACGAATGTCCGAAGAATGCTATGAACTACCATTGCCGCATGAGTGCTCGGATCTGGATTCGTCACGCATCATTGAAATCGTTAAGCAAACCATCGATTTGAAATTGCCGCCAAAATGTTTCATCGTTCACAATGCCATCCAAGAAGCGAACAATTTTCCGGGCGGACCAACTGGCACCATGACATCATCGGCCAATGGCGGCGGCAGCAGCGCCAGCGATGATTGCGCCGATATGCCATTTTCACTGGACATTTCCAATTTGGATCGCGCCAATTTGAGCCTCGAATACTCGGGCGGCCTACAAATCGAACTACAAGTTTTCGGTGGCAAGAGTAAAGACAATTGCAACAAAGGCATTAAATTAAGACGAATTTCAGGCGATCAATTTGAATATGGGAAATTATGTCAACAATTAATTAGTTCATTGACTGTATGACTCGAACAAAACCGATAGGAGCATATTCACTCTCTCTCTACATCGGATCACTAAGAAGACATAAGATTGAGTCTTTTCGCTCTTTTTAGTTTCGTTGTGTGTGGTTTTTTTTGTTTTTGTTTTTTTTTTTAATTTTTAACGAAAATTTTCAACTTCTGCATTTCGACAATGCAATCAATTGAATTTCTTACTTTTTTCATTTTTTTTTTGTTTAGTATCGACGAATGTAAAATAGATTTAGAGAACGTCACGCAATTTGAAAATCTTCATTTCTTCCTTTTTCTTTGTTGTTTTCGTCTGACCGACGCGTTTGGCCAACACACTATTGAGAGGAAAACAAACAACGTTGGGAGTTGAACGCACATCATTCAGACACACCCACCAAAAGAAATTTCTTCTTCCTTTGGGGAGAATCCATCGTGTTTGTTGTCATTTGTCAATCAAAATTTGCATGGCAATATTGAAATTCGAATGGGATTCGATGTGGATCCAGAGAGAGTGATAGCGATAAATAGAGACAAAGTTGTTGGCAAAGAAGCAAAATTGCTGGAATTGAGTGTTAATTGAGAGTGTTATTGGCCTATGATTTATGCGCTACGGGTAAATGTGTGAGTGCCATCCTAAACTACTTCAAAAGACATATCAGCACACATGTTCAATGTGAGAGACGGAGCGACGGACCACCGCCGCGGTAGCGTGTGACCGTCGCCAATCAAACCGATTATTCGCCGAATCGAAAATTATCGACCGGCTCGAAGAGAATCGACTAACCGGGAAGAAATCAAACCGGGTCGGTTCAAATCTGTTCGGTTTTTTTTACACTTCCCACGAGGTGTAGGAGAGAATGTTCTTTTTTTTATATAGATAAATTATTTGAAGAATGAAACGTAACAATTGCAGTTAAGAAGCGTTCAGCTTCAAATTCGAATGATGGAAAATGTCAATTCAGAATAAATTTCTAGACGAAAATAAAAAAAAATAACGAAAACACAAAATTGTACCTAGCATTCCGAACGAAGAGAAAAAAAAATGAGACAACAACAGTTCAAAGAAAAAAAGAGAAAAAAAAAACGAGACGATTACAAAGAGGGCACCTCTGAATCCGCTTTATTTTGCTCATGGCAAATAAAACTTCAACACATTTAACAATTAGGAATTTAGCATATAAGTGAAGCAAAACAACAAAACACATGATTTAAAACAAATAACAAAAAAACAATGCGTTAACTTAGCCCGTATGATGTAGTTAGTCAAACAAAAAAAAAACAAAGTAGCAAAACAAATAAGAAGAGACAGAGAAAAAAAAAGCGAGAAAGAAAAAGAAGAAATAATATCAACTGTGTATATCATTTAAAGTGGAAACAGAAAAAAAGCCAGAAGTGTTTAAAGATAAGCCTTAAATTACTGCAACTATTGAGACAAAAACAAGACAAAAACAAAAAATATGTAAAACACACATATACACAGACACAAAATGCATACTTGCCCATTTGGCACATTTGGCTTTGATCATATTCACATATTTGTATGCCGAACAATGAACGAAAGATAAATCAAACAGCGCACAATACCATCCGATTCAGATATAGAACATCCAATTGACATGCACAAAACGGCTCGGATTCTTTTGAGTACATTACACACCATTTGGACACCATCTCTGGGCAGGAGACAAAAATTGTTTCAAGTTTCTACTTTCATTGACATTTTTAGGCAATTTCAGTTTTTTTCTACTTTAGAGCGATCGTATGAAACCAAAATCGTTTCGATCGTGTGTGACACGTATGGAATTTCGTTGAAACAAGTGATGTAGAGAAAAACGTTGAATTTTGAAGAAAAAAAATTGAACCAACCGATTCAAGACTATTTCTTTCGATTCACAAAAAAAAAATCTTTGTTCAGACTGATTGAAGACTGTTTCATTCAATTGAGCGACAAAAAAATATATCAGACTAATTTTTTTCTCCATTTCCTTCGAAGCCAAAACTAATTTGACGTTTCGATTTTTTTCAGCTCGAAAAAAGAAATTTCGTTCCATAGAGAATGTTTTTGATTAATCACTTTAAATCTTTAACCAAAACATTTGCTCCTGTCGACTTCAGTCACTTTAGATTGACTCGATTCGAATGAATCGACTTGAGTATCCAAAATCGACTCTTATTCTTCCTATTCTTTCTATTTTTGCGTTGCTTTCATTACGTCCTGTCCAAACGTGGTGCTCATTTTGCGACGAATCCTCTTAGACCGCAATCAGAAAAGAGAAGAAAATAAAATATAGTTTCAATCGAGGGTGCGATTGTGCGCAATAATAATTTTACGTGGTACACATATTATCGATGTGGGCGAAGAAGAAAAACAAGAAAACAAACTATCGAGACAAATTTCGTTCAAATACAACAAAAAAGAGAAGATAAACACTAATTCATACACATATTTTTAAAATGAATAATTAAAAAAAAACAAGACTGCTGTGATTTTGAAAAATTAGAAAGAGAAATGTAATATTACGGTTTGAATGGTCGATTTGCGTTTGGTGCTCTGATCGATCACTGACGAGTCGTCAGTGACGACAACCAATGTATTCGAGTGATCGAACAGTGCACCAATTGCCGAATGGTCAAAGCCATAATTTAATTTAAAAGCGGAAAAAAATTAAGGAAGTGAAAAAAACAAATTCCCAAATTTTGGATTGGAAACTAATAATTTGGATTGTGTTGAAGTGGCATCCGTTTTTATCGAATCGACGACGATAATCTTTGGAAAAAAAACCAAATCTTTCCGAACAACCATCCGATCGCTTTGCTCGAAATCAATCAAACGACACGGTCTACTCTGTGATTCCAATTCGAAAAACGATAAAACCACACATTTCACATAATCCAACTATTACTTCCACATCCATGGGGACTTCAAACAAAAAGAGAACAGAGAGAAGTTATTATATATTTAAAAAGAAAATCGTGGAAGAAGTGAAAATAGTAATTTCATTTTTAGTGTAATCAATATTCAAGTGAATGAAAGTGAAAATAAAGAGAAATTCAATTTTCCTCAACAAAAATATGACACAAAACAAAAACCAAACCAATTTTCAGTTTGTCTTTTATTTATGCGAAACCCCGTTTTGAATGATTGCGTACAGAAGCTTGTTGTGCTCTGATTACAGAAGGGAAATGATCAGAGGTTTAGGGAAGATATTTTTTTAGGTGGAGATTCAGAAGTTTAAGGAAGACTATTTTGGGGTGCAGAGGTTCTCCACTGGAGAATTTACACTGAATAAATTGATTGGCTCCCTTCTGAGATTTGCACTCTCTTCACTGACTAAAAAATAATTCTGTGACATAAAAAATAGAGAAAGAAAGAAGGAAAGGAGTGACCAGCAAATGATCAAAAACTGACTGAAAAACTGACCATTTGACTTTCTTGGTGAGAAAGAATTGGAATATGATTGTAGCAAGATTTAAACAAGAACGAAACATGACTGGAACATAACTGAAAAACCATCGAAAATGAATGTTCATCTATGAATTTCAGTGTGAACACATTCACATTGGATCAAACTGTCTGTGCAATATTGAGCTGTGACAACAACGACTGGGACTTTTTGTTGATCAACAATATAAACCGATGGGATTTTTTCTGATGACAAATGACCTCATACAAAATCGAAATACAAAGAGTGCAAAATTCTGTATTGTTGCTGTGACATTTCCAAACAACATTTTGATTAATAAAATCCTCAAAATCGAGTCATTTTCTTTTCATTCATGTCCACATGAATTATTCTAATAAATCCGATTTACAATCGTAATTTATTAAGACAGTTCAATTTACTGCTTTATTCAATTCTACTGCTTCAATTTAATTATTCAAACATTCCAGTCATGGATTCAACTTCTTCTCTCCGAATATTTCAAATTGAAATTTTCAATTCAGAATTCATCTTATTCTCTGAACGTCTTACAATCCGGGATTCACCATTCATTCAATTTAAATGGGATTCAATTTGGAATTTATTCCAAATGTACCTATAGATACAATTTTGATCTAAGAAAAAGTCGAGTAGAAATGCAAAAACCTTCCAAGATCATTTCGATTCGCAGTAAAATTTCGAGTTAAAATTTTTCAGCATAAAACATTTCAATTTCCTTTTAGAAATCTGCTTTTGAACCAAAAAAAAAGAAGAAATGTGTCAGCGCAACGATGTCATTCAGCGTGTTCAGCGCAGCATAAAAATGTGTTCAATGTCAAAGTTGGTGCTGGAATTCAGAAGAGCCCTTGCCGCTTAATAATTCAAATGGTTGGTGTGTTCCTTGTTTTTTCTCTTTCTATCGTCTGTTTTCACCACTGGCATTGAACGTGTTAAGTTTGTGCGCGAAGCGACATACACAATACACAGATCCCCTGTGCATCACATCATTCCAGCAGTGTAGAAGAAATAGCAATGAGCACGTACACACACGTACGAACGAGCAAACGAACGAACGAACGAAACGAATGAACGAACAAAACGAAACAAAGGGAAGAGAATAGAGGTAGAGAGACACAGAGTGCTATGGTTATGTAGTGAGTCGCGCAAGTGGTAGTAACATGGTGATAATGCGCGTAAATGCTGGAGTCGATATAAGCTGACTGTATATATGTGTGAGTGTGTTGTGTTCCCAACATCGCATTTTGTTTCTCTCTTCGTCTCTATCATTTGCACGGTCAACCATACGCTGAGTGTGTAGATTTGCTCTCACTCTGTCCGTTGGTCCTGCAAAGCATTTTTGAATTTTTTTCAAACACAACCGATTTCAAAGCGCGTTTCTCAGTGAGTGTTGGAGAAGCCATAGCATAAGCATCAAATGGAATTGTGAATCTCAAATATACGCATCATTTTTAGCATATTCTTGTGTCGTTCGTTTTGTGTGTAAGAAAAAAAAAGAGTAAACTAATCAACAAACGAGGAACAAACTCGTATCGTCTGTTCGAAAAATAAAATAAAATTTGTGTTGAATTTTTGTTGTAACAAATTCGTAAAGTAAAAAGAAGAGTAATGTTTTAGACATTTCGATGCATTAAAACCAAAAAAAAATTTAGTTGATTTTCTAGTGACAGTCGTGTATGAATGCGCGTGCCATAGTTCTGCGCATTTGACTTTGCACAATCGGAATTAAACTAGAAAACCATTTCACACACTCAATATTTCTCTCAATTCGGTGAATCCGTTTTTTGTTGTTGCCTTGATTCAAAATTAAAACGAGTTGACGGAATAAACCAACAACGACAACGAGTGTGAGAACCACAGGAGAATAAGAAACACACACACAGAGAGAGACGGAGAGAGGAAAAAAAAAGGAAAATGGCGACGGCATTTCGTATCCATGAAGATATTGAAAATGTTTTGGAAGCGGGCAAAAAGAAGGACCATCACAAAAATACAGGGAAAAACGAGCAAAAATTGCTGGATAAGCAACCATTGCGATCAACATTTGCGATTTTAAATAATGTGCACAACGACAATGGACGTAATGTTGCGGCTGCTTCGGCTACAAACACAACGCATGCACAAAAAACGGTAAGAACAACAACAACAACAACAAAACACACTGCACTTGCCCAATTTTAAATTGGTTTGATATTTTAAGATATCGCCTTTTTTCTGGTGCTATTAATTCGTTTGTCGTGCTGTTTTTTCGTTTGTTTTTTCGTCGTCGATACCGAAATTAAAGTGGTCTGCCCTTGAAATCATGTGAGAAAAAACCGCATTCCACTTTAATCGCGGATATTGAATCGATTCATGCTAGAGCGCCAGGCGCACACTATTCTTTTTCTCATTGTATCTGCGCAGTGTGCGCAATTTGGATGGCTTTATGATGCATTTTATGTTCCCACTTTTTCCCCATTTTTTTCTTCTTTTTTTTTGTTCATTTTTGTTTTCTTCGTAAAATCGTACATCACAATGAATAACATTTTTTGAAGTAAAGAGTAGATAAAAGAGTCAGTTGGACTCAAAGTGAAGTAAATAAAGAAACGAATCAAATTGAAGTAGATAGGAAAAAATTCCAAATTTTGTACATTGCTCAAAATAATTCGATCAATTGTAGCGATTCTCAATATCGACCATCTTTTTTTTCTCTTCTCTCTTCTCTCTCTCTCTCTCAGGCATTCAATGTGTTGCAGGGCAAAAGTACCGTTCTGAAAACGAACGACGAAAATGTGGTACCGAGAGTGCACAATGTTAAAACGGTCACCGAAACGTACAAAGCATTTGTTAGTGTAACAAGTACCAGCGTTGATACATCGGCACAAATCACCGACGAAAATCGGCCACCGCTCAAAGATGAAGTCGATCATGCCACCGTTAACTGCAGTTTCACTGGCATTCGGTTTGTATATTCTTCACCTTTTTTTCGGCTCTCTGTACCTATCTCTTTCTCTCTCGCTCTTACGGATGTAATGGATTTGAACATTTTTCCATCGAAATTTTGAACTTGTTGAACAATTCAACGTGTTGAAGCATTTTTGAATCGAAATTCGTTAAACAAAATATCGGATTTGGTTCGAGTGCATTTGTTGAGATTGAATTTTCGAATGAATTTCAATAATCAAACATTTTTCAATGGATTTGAAATGATTTTCTTTTTGAAATAATTTTTTTTTTGTTTCAAAATTGGATTTTTCTACTAAAATTTGCTCCCACTGTTCAACTGCTATTGGTCACATAGTCGCAAAATGATCGCTTTGATTGAAAAATGTTCAATGAAATTTCCGATGCTTTTTGGGAAAAGATTTTGTTTTGAAACAAGATGATTTTTGTTTCCAATAACAACAACAATACCATTCAATCTAATGGTAACCATTGCCCAATGAATCTAAGATACAGTTATGTTTCAAACCAAACGTTGCCGGTCGTCTAATTCGAATGAATTAAATTTGTTCCACAGATTGCCATTGCAAGAGATTAAGCAAGATGCCGAGACACCCGTGTGCATGCATGAAATTTTATCGCCCATGTCAATTGATAAATCACTTATTGAGAATGATGCAAACGTTTCGATTATCACGGTTGACGATCAAACCACAATTGCTGATGCTTCGGCTATTCCATCCACATCTGCAAAACGATTCGGTCTTAAGGACGATCTGGAGAAATTTTTCGAAGTCGAAGAATATCGTGATGATATTTTGGTGAGTTGAATCAGTTCGATGATTTTTTTTATCGGATTTTTTTTTTACAGAAACGAGAGAGTTGGGTTTTTATTAACGAGGAAATTGATTGATTCGATTCTTTTTTTGTGCTCAATGAAGAAAAGAATGCGTAGACTTTGTATCAAAAATAATCGCATTCATTCAAGAGATCTTCCTTGTGCTGTAGCAACTTTTCATGTGTTCAGTACAAATATGCAAAATGAAGAATAAAACATGAGTAATCGTGAAGTAAGAATGAGTGCCTGCCAAAAGTAATAACATGCTTGTGCATGGCCAACTGTGACATTCAACCATTTTGTTCAACTCACTTGCAAATGTAGTTGTGCATTGGTCATCAGTGATGATAGATTTCGAAAGATTGGCTGCACGCAATTCGAATTTTCTGTCTTCCACAATGAAGCATCTACGTGTGTGACGACAAGTCGGCTGCTTCATTGAGTCATTTTGTAATTTTTTCCGTTTGACTGTTCAATAATGATATTTTCTGTCTTCGATTCGAATTGTCTGTTTCATAAATTCCATAAAGAACCAATGCACCCAATAAAAAAAATGTGAAATAATCTGTCGCTTTGTGTGGTAATGACCAATTTTTTTTTCATTCATTCCTTTCCCATGCAGGACTATTTGCGTGAAGCAGAAGTGCGTCACCGACCCAAGCCAATGTACATGCGCAAGCAACAAGACATCAGCCATTCGATGCGCACAATTTTGGTCGATTGGTTAGTTGAAGTGGGCGAAGAGTACCGTTTACAGAATGAAACACTGTGTTTGGCCGTTTCATACATTGACCGCTTCCTCAGCGTAATGTCGGTGGTTCGTGCAAAATTGCAACTGGTCGGCACAGCTGCAATGTTCATTGCCGCCAAATACGAAGAGATCTATCCACCAGATGTCGGCGAATTTGTCTACATCACCGATAACACGTACACCAAGAAGCAAGTGCTACGCATGGAGCAGCTCATTTTGAAAGTGCTGACATTCGATCTGTGCGTTCCCACCACATCCGTATTCCTCAACGCCTATCCAATTGTCGATGATCTACCAAACGACGTCAAATTTATGGCACAAGTAAGTTGATTCAACAAAGAGTGTAGTTTTGCTACCGAGCAGGCCGGAGCTAAGCTGAATTGGCTGACACAGACGACTGAAGCGGTATTTTAACGCAGTTTGCGTGCAAAATTTTCCTTGCGAGCAAAGATTCACGTTTTTTCCAAGATAAATCGCAGCTGGCAATGCACAGTTGAGTGCGTTAAAATAACACTTCAGGCGCCGAAGTCGGCAAACTCATACCCAGCTAAAGACTGATCAGCAGCGAAAAGACACTCTCTGCTATCGAGATAATTGTGAAAAATTCGATTTGAAAATGAATTGAACGGTGTCCTCGTCATCAATTCAATGGCTTTGACTAGCTTGAATGAATAAAGACTAAAACCAACTCATTTTCCCATTGCAGTACTTGAGTGAATTGTCATTGTTGGAAGCGGAACCGTACTTGCAATACACACCATCGATGATATCAGCCGCTGCAATTGCATTGGCCCGTCTCAATTTCAATTTACCCATTTGGACGGCCAGCCTCGAGCAGCACACCAATGTTCAAATCCACAATTTGACTGATCTTATTCTACATTTAAGCGAATCACACTGTGCAGCGGTCAATTCGCCGCAACAGGCAATCCAAGACAAATACAAAAGTAGCAAGTAAGTATGAATGGGGTGGTGTTATTTGAAAGGAGTCTTGAGCACCTTCTGGTGGTTCACGATTCGTCAATGACTAATCATCTGGCGATGGACGAACTATTTGGATATTCAATACCTTTTGATTGGGCCGGGCTATACCACTCAATCTATTTCAAAAAGGTGCTGATTACCATTGATTTTGTCTCCTTCTAATCCATCCATTCTCTTCTTCCTATCCAGATATTTGGAAGTATCGACGCGAACGCCGTTGCGAGTAGACGAAATGGTATTATCGACAGCCATTCAACAATTGGATGATTTCGAAACGGCCGATACCGACAAGTGTAATGAGAATGTAAGAAAGATGATTTCATCGCTGCAGTTTTTATCATAAACAAAAGAAGAAGATCGAGACAAGCGCATGACATAGAAGACGAACAAAAAGTAAATTAGTATCGTTTGCCGCAAGGAACCAGAACAACATAAACAGAGAACCAAAGTGAAAAAAAAAACAATTCCATATTCTTTTCGTGTAAAGAAACCAATTCGTTCCGCTAAATATTATTGTGTTGTGTACGCATGCAATCCAAATTGGATTTATTTTAGATGTTTAAACATTTCTTTTTGATCGATATTTCCCATTGAGACAGATTAGAATTTAATGAAAATGTGTAGTTAGTATTTTTGTTTGATTTTTTAACTCGAAGATTAAGGACGACGGTTTCCATTGACATTTGAACAAATAAGTAGAAACTATGAGAGAGAGATTTTTTTTTTCGTTGTAAAATGATGTGACAAATTCAAAATTTTGCCGAAACATAAACTTTGTGAAAAAATAATGAGAAAAAAAAATCTGTTCAATGTTCGAAGAAAAGAAAACGAAGATTCTTATTATAAAGAACAAAAAAAAATAGATGAATAAAAATGTACGAATAAATATACACTTAAATGCAAAATACTGATGATAAACTACTTTTGCACGTTCCGTGATCGACATTTTGTTTCGATTCCATTTATCGAGCTACTCCAAACTCTTACGCTTAAAACAACCTTTTTTTAAAAAATAAATATGAAACAGCAACAAAAAAATGAACAAAGATAGAAAATATGACGAAAAAAAAGGAATAAAAACACATGAAATACACTTTATTTTAGTCCGAATGTGCGCCATGATATGATTTAGTCATTAAGTTGAGGATGAATTTCTTCCACATGGATTCATAAAAACGTTTTTTCCATGAAAAACGAATCATTTTTACGGAGAATGAAAGAAAAAAATTCACAAGAAGCAAATGGTTCTCCAAAAAAAAAATCTAGTTTTTCTAAACGAGTCAATTCTCAATTCTAAACGAGAGCCTTTTTCGATTTGACACACATTTCTAGTTAAATGCATGCTATTCAAATAATACTTCAAATAAATGCGATTTTAACACAGGCGCATGTTAAAATACCCAAGACCCTCTTCGAAACCATAGACACTTAGATGTTAACGCTAATATTTATTTAGTTCAATTTAGACATAAAATTGTTTGTAAGTTTTTGCGTGCGTAATTCAAGCGCTGTATGTGTTGCGCCGCCACCGTCGATGCCGCCTCGATTTAAGTCGTTTAATTAATTTATATGCACATTGATTTGATTTTGGTCCACACTTTGTAATAAAAACAGAAACAACAATCAGAAACGATATCCATTAAGTTTTCGATCTGTGTGTCATCCGATTTCAACGTACAAAATTCTGTAATTTTTCGTAGAGAGTATTCCAATCGATTTAAGCCTTCTTTTTTTTTTATTGTGAACCAACATTCGCGATTAATTTTATTCAATTTAATGCTCTTCACATCCACAAATGAAAAAAATTCCCATCTTTATTGTAAAAATGCCCGGATACTTCATGGAGCTCACAAAAAAACAGAGAACAAAAGCAAAAAAAAGACATAAATTCCCATAATTTGCTGCATAAAATCCACAACCAAATGGCTACCACTGAAAATTTCTAAATAAGCTTAGTCTTAAACACTCCTCTTTCTTTATTTCTTTTTTTTTATCATTTTTCTTTATTTTTTTATATGTTTGCGGATTCGCCATAACTTCTTTTTCAAGATGTGCATGCATTTCGCATCAAAATGGTAAATTAGCTTTAAATAGAAATTAAACAAACAAAAAAAAAACAGACAAATCAACCATGTTCGGATTGTTGTAAGGAAAATGTGAAAATAAAAATGCGAAATATTATCAAATTCAATTTGCTACTTTTTTGGATAATTTTAGCTAGCTCTAACACATTATTTCAATTTTAAATTGTTTTTATAAAGGAAGAAGCCGAATGATAATGACGCGATCGAAATGAGAGAGATAGACCGCTGTCTTGTTTAGCTAAAGACATTTTTTATTTTCTAAAAAACGATTCGAATCGTATTGTTTGAGATTCATGAATCTGATCGTTGTGCTCATTCAATGTAATTTTCAACAGTCATTATTATTGGTCAGAATTTTCAAGATTGGCTTTTGAACGGCCGTTGTCAAGGTTGGTCGTTGAAAATGACTCATTTCAAATTCGCTTGCTGTTAAATATTTGTAACGGAAATTGGGAAAATCAATTTGGATTCCAAACCGGAAAGAAGACTCCCGTGTCTTAAAACAACGGTATGGAGATGAGTATGGTGGGGTGAGTACGTGCACAATTTCAACGTAAATAAAAACAGGCTAAATAATTTCGATTTCAATTAATGGAAAGTGGATGAAAATGTCAATTCAATTCGTCCTAGATCAGATAATTTTCAATAGTTCTCATTGATTCACTAAGTCTCTGATCTATGGTATATACATCAAAATGATCTGAATATCAAATTGTTTTGATATCCGGAGTTGGCACCAGATGGTGGTACCTGTGCCACTAGTCGACCAATTGTCCCACTTTTTGATCAGTTCGTTGCAGTCACAAGCTTGGAATATATACTGTCTGATCCGGTTTTTAGCTGGAAAATCCAATAGAATGTGAATTAAATTTTTGCATATTTGACACTTTATGCCACACATCATTCGAACTTTCATTGTCAATAGCATGTTCATCAAATTGCAACTGTTTTGCGGATTGCTTCTTCGATGATTTTCGATTCGTTTTCCTTTGTAGCAACTGTCAATTCGTACTAATGGATCGTACTAGTATATTTACTGCAGCAGATGGGCTGAAGGTGGATGCCATTCGTTCTGGGCTGGAATTCTAAGACATTCCACCTAAATGGTGCGGAAATATTTTTTTTGTACGTTTGTACGTAAGACTATATTGGAGTGAAAGAGAGAGATTCCACTAATTTTCTGGATACCACCGAAATTATTAAGATAACTCAATTCCGGTGGTAACCAAAAAATTTGTGGAATCTCTCTCTTTCACTCCAATATAGTCTTACGTACAAAAAAAAATAATTCCGCACGATTTTGGTGGAATGTCTTAGAATTCCAGCCCTGGTTGTTATGTCTTTGATATCAATCACTGGCACAGAAATTGGGCCTTGCTTAAGTGTTCTGACCAGTACTCGCGATTCAATCCAATTTCAGACCAAAATCTCTTCTGATCGCATACGGAACTCGATCCAATGGCATTTGTAGCCATGATTCTAGAATAGTAAGTTGTACTTGGTGGAAAATTCTGCAAAACATACGACGGTTTTTTGAATCATTGTTCTTTTTCTGTTGTTGATCACGTCTGCTAAAGAAAGAATCAATGAATGTTGATTGTATAGCTAAAAGGTACCAGCAAAGCTGGTTCAATGTAAAAAAGTTAATGTTTTCTCCATTTTCAATTTACCTTTTTATTTCTATACACTATACATGCGGTCAGATGTCAAATGATTTTTTGATTTTGGGCCATTTGGCGACATCTGCATACATCCATTTTTCCCCCAAACGGCCGGATGAATGGCATATTCATAAAAGTCAATAAACACGAGATCATCGAAATGTCAAAAGTGATTTCCGAATATAGCCTCCGGGTGATGTGTGTTAGCAGTAGCACCCACCGCTCACGATATTTCAACAACAGATGTAAATATTAAGTAACATAAAACCAATTCATTGTTTACAGTGATTTTCAGGGATAAACACAAGCGAGATGAGAAATGTGTTCAGTTCATTGTTGTTAGTGCTATGCCTAAAGTTCAATTCAAAATAAGGCATTTTGATCCTACGTAAACAAATGAAATGGTGTAATAGCTGTTTTGAGTTCGATTCCAATTGATGCATGAATGTTTTCGCTTCGGCGATATGATTTCTGCAACGTCACCAATATTATTTCAATCAATTGCATTGTTCGTCATCAAAACATCCGTAAACCGCATGAAGGGAGTGAATTATGTGGCAAATCTTGTGCCGAAGATATTTTCTTAAACGACAATCCCATCGAATTTGCATCACATAAATCGAGCGAATGGAAAAACAGACACCGAAATTCATACGGAATCAAAAATTGGTGTTGAAACGCTGTGTTTGTATCCAAGCCGAGAGATTTTGTATTTAGCAAAACATCAACATCGGCAAAACGATGACGGTTCAAAAATCACACATACACACAAACAAGGCAGTGTCGATTGTTTTGTTGCTGAAGGCGATTTTTGCGTTGTTTTCATTACGAGATAAGGACTTTGAAGACCAGTGCGAAAATACATTGGTGTTCGACGTTTCAACGGTAAACTCTCGGCTGTGAGTCGCACGGAGTATCGCATCAGTGTTGGGTTTTTGACAAACTGTCATCGAATCGGTCGGTCACACCAAAGCATTCATCGGCTGTATTTCAAAGCAATCAGATCGTTTTCTTTGGTGTCATTTTTTTTCTTTCGATAGCAAATCGCAAATAATTGAAAAAATCGACCAAAAAAAATCAAAATCGAGAAAACTAAACGATAAGCAAGGTATTTCGAAACGTCTAAATAAGTGGGTTTGTTGGAATTCAATTAGTTGGCTGCTATTAATCGGTGTTTTGTGCGTGTTAAGATGAAAATGTCGCACCTACAACTCCCGAGCCTTTTGGAAATGCGATTGAATCAGGCGATCGAGAAAGTCGAAGTCATTGCTGATGGAGCCATCGAAGCTGACGTTTTGGCACGAAAGACTGAATTGGCGGCGAAGATCAAGCATGCTCGAGATGAAAATGCCCGATTAAAGGTCCAACTCCAAGCCGCGGTTCAACAGTAAGTGCTTTTTATTGAGTAATTCAAGAAAAAGGGACAGTTTTTGATTGACGCGATAAAAAGTGTCGATCAATAGTGATGATCCTCGGATTTATACACTTTTCTACGAATTTTGGAGAAGAAACACTGAAAAAATTATTGTGTCACGAAGCCGACAACCATTCTTCTAAGACACCCCTTTGTACTAAACACACATCACACCAAGTTCATTGTAAATCCTAATTTACTTTTTCAGTTGCGTTGCAAATGGATTCGACATCCAGCGTTTCGAAGAAATGGCACAGTCGCACAAAGATTCATCCGATCGCATCACAAATGCACAGCAACGGTTGAACGATGACACTGCTAAAGCTGAATTGACATGGAACCGCTTTGGATTCCCTCGGCCAATAGTTGTGGTGAGTATCGAAGAACATTTTCGAAAATGCCATTTTATTCCGTGTTGAAAGTGCCGTTTGTTCAATATCTTCTCTCGTTGTGATTTAGTACGAGTAACCATACTTCCAATGATTTGCAAATAATAAGAAAAATGGCTTGAAATCACTGAGCTGCTTATGAATTCTCGGATTGAAAATCAAATTTGGATTATTTAATCAGAAAATCAAATTGAATAAATAGATTGAAGAAATGCTTCAAGAGTTGCTTGAAAATTTCCCAAAATTTTCCCACAACTTGATTAATTCTTTCCCTTTGTATTCTTTCATTGCGTAGAAAAAGGAGGAAATGAGCAAAGAAGAACGCATTGGTCTTTTGACGGCCAAAATGGCGAATCTGAAGGCGGAACTAACAAAACTGCAAGCCAAACAACGGGTTATTTTGGGTTCGCAAAACGAGTACGACGTTCTGTGCAAGCTCGAGAAGAAATTGAACAAGAAGAAGCGGTCCAATGGCGATGACGGAAAAGTCACATCGAACCAGGTATAATCTGGATGCATCGAATTCATATTTGATGCCTCGAACGATTGTTCGCATATTTACCGGATCAAAAAAAAACAGTCAAGTGCAAACCAGAGAGTAGTGTATATGAATTTGGAATCGAAAATCGACATAAAAATAATAGACCATAGACCTATAATGGCTCAAAAACTTAAATTTCAATATTCAATTCTTCTTTTCTAATACTTTGTTGAACCTAATCTCTGTTTTTTCGTCGGTTTTAAGAAATTCAACAGAGAACGTTCACATATCGTGTCATGTAACATGTAGCCAATTTACTTATTTGCTTAAGCTTCGATGAAGAAAACAAACAAAAACGGAACAATTCAAAATTAGTAGGGAAAATCGGAAGAAAATGAACGCAATCATTATTGAAATTGATTATTATTCGAATTGATCTAAAGAAAGGAGCCTTTTAAATGAACAAAAAATGAAATTGAAATGGTCAAAAACATATAACTCTCAATAAAACGAAAAAAAATCCGTTATATACCGTTGAAATCAACGGAAAAATCTATGATTTGAAAACATTTGTTTTAGGAATAAAATCAAATTTTCTTTTGGAAAAAATGCATTTTTTTTTGTTTGCAATGCAAACTTTGCATAGCAATCCTCTTTGTGAATCAAATATTCTGGATCAAAATCATGTAAGTATAGTCAAAATTGTTTATTGCAAATCAAGAAAGGCACTTAAAAATGTTTGTAGTCGAAAAAAGCTATTTCAAGCTCGAGCCTCCGAACAAAAATTGAATCGATAAATTTTCAATTTCAAAGCGATATCTAAACAAAAAAATATTGTGATGTATGTGTGAGTGATTGATGAATCAACAACCGATTTGTCCATCAATTTCACTAAACGCGTGTGTGTTCGTTCGGAATTCTAACGTTCACCGGAATTTCGATCGATTTGAAATCCAATTGGAAATGTTTCGTGTCAAAAACTACGTGACTTTTTGTGAAATTTGCTGATTGTTATAAAATGGTACGACAAAGGAGAAAAAAAACATTCGGGACGAGGAAAAAAAACTCTATCTATCCAACTAGTGGCATGACATGTTTTTGCATGTTTAAGTAGCGACACATGTGTTCAATCGGACACTCAATGAATTTTTGAATAATTTTTCACAATGTTCTTTCTCGTCGTCAGCGGCACAAATTGATCGAGAATGGGAAGGAAAATTTGTGTTTATATGGATAGATGACAACTGGTTTGTTTTATTTCTCGTCTCTTTTATAGTTTTGGAGTTGTTATTTTGACATACACTTGAAATAGTTATATGAGAGAGGCAGTGGGAGAGATACAGTGTGTGTGAGAGGGAGAGAGAGACAGTGAGAGCATATGTAGTCACTTGTGAAAAAAGTGTTGTTGACGTTTACGGTTGTAAGTGTACAATGTGCATAATATTCAGACAGCCGGAGCACGCAATGGAAATGATAGTGAAACAGAGAGACGATAGTGCGACAATGCTAACGGTATGAGTAAAATGAATGTTGCTATTGTGTATTCCGAACGGGAAAAATCTACGTACTCGAATACGGCGTTTGAAAAGCGCTTTTCCGCTTTTCAGCATCTCAACTCGCCTATTTTATGTGATGTGCTCGTTTAACGGATGTCATGTTTACAAAGTTCATGTGAGAGGCAGTTTCATAGTGGCGGTCATTCAACTTGTGTTGAACGAGAGATAAGAAAGGAAAATAAAACCGGCCGCTTTCTCCTCCCTCAAAGAGAGACAAGTGTGTCTCTTTGCAAGAGTTGGAGTTTTTTTTCTTCGAATTTCCCACTGATACCTTGACTAATGATTGGCCTTAACACCTTGGACGCTTGCTATCTACTCGATAATATCATTTTTGCACGGTAAGCATTTTCACCGGGCCATGAGTCGATTCACTTTGGCGAGACATCATTTTTTTTTCTCTGTTCGTCATGGTGGTGGTCGTCGTTGCCATTGTCGTTGTTGTTCGTCGTCGTTATCGTTGTTGTTTCTGTAGCCGTTGTTGTTTGACACCCATAATAACCGTACAATGGACAGGCAGAAAGTAGATATTCGAATTAATTCCGTTAACTCGATACGATTTTATTGAGTACAACATGAAGTGGTTTGTTTTATTGAAGCAAATAGAGGAAGGAAGAAGAAGAAGAAATAAAGCAAAGAAAAATCGCTTCACGGCTGGAGCTTGTAATACTGAGGCCGTATCGAAACCAATATGTGGATAATGACGGATAAATGAGGTCAGCAATTTTCACGCACATGCACTCGAAAAACAAAGCCAACACTTGAAACGAACTTACAGCAGGGCAAGCAGAATAGAAGGAAAAAAACAACACCAACCAACCAACCAACCAATGAACGAATGGAATAAAAAGAGAGAATCAAATTAGATTTTCTAAATGTTACTAACAGCTCAAACGAGCAGAGAAAATGTATCGCAAAATAAATGTGTTTGGACAACATTGAGTGAGTTTCATTTGGTATGCATTCAGTTGGTTGGCATTTATGTGGGAAGCGTGACCAGAGCCAAAGTCGATAAAGACGTTGGTTGGGTCAGAGAGCTAGAGAGAAGTTGTCCGACACACACAAAAACCTAGTCAACCGCTACCCAACACCATCTATTTCATTTCTTTCATCGTTTCTCGTTCTTGCTCGCTCGTTCCATTCCTTGCTTATCAAACCATTGCTTTTTGAAACAAATATCCGGAAAAATCAAACCAACTCAACGAAAATGAATGGAATCGAAAGCAAAGTGCGATAGAACGAGACAAGAGAGGAAAGAAGTGAGAACGGGGGAGCGAGAATTGAGAGAACAAAAGTCTTGTCACTGCATTTTCGAATCGAGCAACATCCTCTCGATATATATGTATCAGTAAATCTCGCCCAGGTGCCGTGAAGCTAGGTGAAAAAACATACATAATTCACACGCCTCCATTAAAACATCACACTTGTGTCTCATTTCAAAACAAAACGCGCTACAAAAAACCATAAATTCATCTCTCAACTTCAACAATGGGCCAACACCACTCCAAACACCAACCAATCCCACCCAAACCGGTCTTGCTAACGCAAGAGCAAACGATTTTATGCAAGAGACTGCAAAGAATTTTTATCTTGACATAATTTATCGGTGAACATTTCGCCCCATTCTTAAACGCGTTCTGCTTGATTGGGCATAAAAATGGTGGATGTACGTGAAACGAATAATTTTTCGTATGCCCGCTTTTATTTCGTATTATTTCTTAGCTGTGTGTGTGTGTGTGTATGTTTGCTAACGAACAAGTGAAGAAAAGTGGGAGAGTGAGAGCGAGAGAAAGAAAGAAAGAGAGAAAGAGAGAGAGAGAGAGAGAGAGAGAGAGGGAAAGAGAGAGTGAGTGTGTGTTGTAAGCTTGTTTTGGCTCCCGACAAATCAAAGTCTTTTTTATCACTTGAATTGAACGTGATAAACCACAGAAACCGATCTCTATCGATTTGCTGCAAATTTGATCCACACGAACGACAAACGAGCCATCCAAAGAAGAAGAACAACAATAACAACAACACAAGTGGCAAATTGCACTGCAATAAAAGACCGTTGCCCTCGTCAATACATCTCTCACTTGGATCCATTTGACTTTTTGTGTGAATCTAAAGTGTCGAAATGATTGAAAATCGTTCAATTTCAAGACCATTTTACGAGGAAATTCGGACTTGTTCGAATAAATACTTCAACATTTGAACCATTTTCAAAATCGTGTCTCTTTTTATATGGTGATTTTCTCTTTTCAAATCGGTTTTTGTGGAGTTTTTCATGATTTCTTTGGCATATTTAGCTATTTGAGGTTGAATTTATTCTAGGTTTTGAATTGCTCGTAATAATCATTACAATTTATTTTTGGCAATTCTCAACTATTTGTCAAATTGACATAACGGATTATTAATCCGGGATTAAGCATTTATTATGTTCAGTGTTTAGGATTTTTCCATAACATAAATACTCACATTCCATAGAAATATCATGGAAATGCCATTATTCACAGCTTTCCAACTTATTTCTTAGCTTATGATGCAAAACTTAAGAGAAGAAACATTTCAAAAAGGAATTGATTGAGTTTTTCGAAGGGAGATTGTCCCAAAAAATACCCATTTTTTCTCATAATTGCCTGAAAAATGGAAATTTTCCATTATGTCCAATCAAGACTCATGCGGCTGTCGCTATTTAGTGCGAAAGACTAAACGCATATAAAAATATGACCTTGAATTGAAGAAATCTCATTTTAAAATGCAACAAAGTTGAGAATATCTCACTTCAAAATTTCATCTGTTGCAATTTTTCAACAGTCCAATACTGTGCTAATCAATTCGAAACTTGAGTCATTCTGAACAATTAACGCATTCAACATTATCCCTTTCACTCTTCCATTCTCTCTTCTCGTTAACTCTCCATTTCTCTCTTCATTCCGTTCACTCTCAACGGCAGCAAGCATCAAGAGTCCAAGCGATTCAGTGGTATAGTCAATACGTGTGTAATATCTCTTTCACTTCAAAGTGGTAGTGCGAAAACTGTAAATAAAACGCAACTCTCTTCCTTGTCAACACTTTGATTTTTTTTGTCAACACTTTTGAAGTGTCAAACACTGTGACTCACCGTTCAAACTGTGACATTGAATGCGAGCCGTTCGCGCAATAAATTCAGTACGTATTCAATATGGCAGACGATCGCAGGAGATTAGCATTTCTATCAAAATTTGAGCGGGTTTGTTGCAATTACTGCTTTCAGTGTCTATCCAGCAATCCACGACTGTATGCACTGCAGTGTTATCACATTTTCTGTCAAAAGTGCCTTCCAAAAGGTTTTGGTTTTTCGTATATTATTTTTTGTTTTCTTGTTCAATAATTGTTCGATGTGTTATCGCTTTTCAAAATGCCAAACAACATTAAAAAAAAAAGAGAGTCAAAATCATCATATTTTCATCGTTATGACGAGAATTCTGATGATTCGGCTCAAAACCGTGTTCTTAATTCTTGATCTTGTTGTTACCACTTTATGTTCTTGTTTACTTTCAGTATGTAAGCTGAACAATCGAAATCAGCGACTGTTTCAGTGTGGTATTTGCGACAAAGTTGCAAGATGTGCCAAATTTTCGGAAGATGTAAGATAATTTATGTTTATTTAGTCAGTTTTGCAATTTCATATATTTTTACTCTCGAAAAATCATATATTTTCAGTTGCCCAGAGAGTTTCTCAAACTTTTTGTGCCAATAAAATTCAATGGATTTTTCCGTACCATCGATTTTCGAATGAAATATCGGAAACGACGTGTCATTCTAATGGTAAGAAACAGAACGAGTTTTCTTCTTTGAGAAAATTGCACAAATTGAAACTAATTGACTAAATGCACAGAGAGGTCGACTGTTTAAAATTCGAAATGCTGTGAAGCGATTGTACCAGCAAGGCTATGTCGTTCAACGCCAAAAGAGCGACTATTTGAAGAGAAAACGTGAAGCTATCCGCCGTCATCTGTTGAACGAGTTCTCAAATGGTTACATTGACTGGCTAATTTCTTATCCATTGCGACGATTGCAAGGGATGCGCTTCAAAGATGGTTCCAGCAGAAAACCGTATGTTTTTCCATGCAATTTTCAAGTCAATTTTTAATGAATATTGTTCATTGTCTCTTTCGTTCAATCTCTCAATTGTTACGTATTGTTTTGCAATATATTTTCAGACGCTTCATTTCCGAGCACATTGACGAAAATTCATCGACACCACTCATTCGACAAGTGTAAGTACCTTTTTCGGAGAATGTTTTCTCCCATATCCATTCAAAATGCTCACGATGTGAGCCTCACAAGTGAGGCCCTCACATTCATTACACAGCATTGTGACACACGCACACCTTAGCTGATCATTTATTCTGATTTCCACTTTGATTAGCCTACTGAGAAACGCATCGTCATCACCTTCAAGTTGTAGTCGCAACCGAAGCAGCAGCCATTGATGACATCCAAAACACAAACACTTGTTCTCTATCATGAAAAGAAATTTGTTCATACGTTTAGAACTGTTGTACTTTTCGCTTATCTATCGGTTAATGTGGTTTGAATGTGGACCGACTGTCTGGATCATGATGACTTTGATTCAAGTATTTTGAATTCATTTAATCGAATTCGTTCGGCAAAAGTTTAATCGGTTTTTGGGATAAGATGGGAAATGAGGGAACAACGATTTAAATAAACGAAGAATAACGAATTGATGGAAAGAAAAACATACGGAACATTGAGAAAAAAAGAACATTTGAAAAAATAGGAAAAAACCATTACAAAATGAAAACCATCAAAAATACAATGAAGAAAAACATCCCAGAATATTTGGTAGAAAAACAATCCAATAATCATTGAGCAGAAAAAAGTAAAATGAAGAGAAAAAAACTCAATCGAAGGGAGAAAAATGTACTGATTGAAATTTACATTGATTGCCCATATTTATTTGACTCCTTATGAGGAGTTTAGGCTCGATGTTAATTGTCATGTACCAAAAATGAATAGAAAATAAACTCTCCAACTAAATGAACTAATTTCACTAGATATTTTGCTAATTTATAGGGAAATTTGGTAGATTTCACTTTCATCGATAGAATGAGAATTCTCGGCGTCGAATGAAAAGTGTCAGCACAAAATAAGAAGTGATGCTCGCTCAAAATTCTCTTCAAATGTCGATCTCCAAGCAGACAAAAAGTGAAAGTCTCACACTATGCCTAGGCATCACCAAAGTGTGCTAAAGTCGAAACTGTCTACAGAAAAAAGGTAAATTTCTTGTCATACAATTGATGATTTGAAGGTTGAGAGAGAACAGTGTTGTCAGAATACAGTCATAGTGAAGAAAAAAAGTCAAAAGCTCCATCAATTGTTATTCAATCTGATACGATCCGACAGTCATATTTCAAAAGAGCTTCGCATTGTCCATTCAAAGAAAAAAAAAACACGGCCACTAAACCGTGTCTACATGTCGACTGCATTTAAATTAATGCATTGCGTTCGAATGACGAAAAGATGGCCTTTGTTGGTGACGTGTGACGATTTGATATGGTCCTGGGGACTTGAAGAGTCGAACACTGCCCCTACCCTTTGGACTCTTTTTTTTCGACCATCTCCTCGTGGCAGCATTAAAAACCGTTCGTTTTGGGGGGCTCTGCGATGAAAAATGATTTGAAGCAAAGGTTTCGATTGGCAATTTGATGTATGGTGGCCGGCATTCGAATGCCGAAGCAATCACAAACACTGCTCTTTCCGAGGCAATCAAATAAAATCGTCGATGACGATGTATCAGGCCGATATATCGATTTAAAGTCTCATTTCACTTAATGCGCTATAAAGTAGGCGTTGTTTTTTTTTGTCTCTGTTCTCTTCGAGTGATCCCGAAGTTGCAAAAAAAAGAGGAACTAACGGTTTCGAATCTGTCGACAACAATAACATTTATTATACCGCTGTCGCATCCGGTCTATTTACATGGATTTTATTTAGTTATTTCATCGGATTGAATCGATATCTGTCTTTTTTCTACATATATAGCATTCGAAATGGAGCCAAAAATACAGATGATATACCAGCCGCAATCTATACGTATCTATATATGTCAAGATGACAACGGCGTCGAGATTTAGTCGAATCATATAGAACAGAGAGCAACAGCAAAAAACAACTGTACGATCCGAGGTTGTTCTTGTTTGTACCATGCCGACACACACACACACCTACACGAGAAGATTGATACGAAGCGGGTGATTTTGTGTACCGGGACGAGAAAAGGTAGGTATGAGACACGAAAAAACCAATCAGCGCAAACACATTCCAAACCGAATGGTTTGCACACACAAGGAGCCATAGTTTTAGACAGCAAGATAGAGGGTCAGAGAGAGAGAGAGAGCATGAGAATGACAAAAAAAAGGAAGAAGAAGCCCAGTGCCATTGATACACACCGCTTACAGACAATGAGCCACCCGTTCACCGCACAATTTCGATGTTGAACACAAGAAAATCGTCGTCGTCGTCTCTATCGTTTCAATCGCCACGCTATTTTCAAAATAACATAAATCCATTTTGTACGAACGGCTTGGATTCAGTAGCAAATGACTACTGTCAGCTGCCCTATTGTTATTCTTGTAAACGTACACACGTCCTAATGCAGACGATGTCAACTTTACTATCCGTACAAACCAACAGCACCAGCAGTAGGCACTAGCTGTAGCGATCAAAATTCCGCATTTTCCGACCATATATATCGAAATCGCATAATTTGCCGTTGCCGTCGCTGCTGCTGCTGCTTCTGTTGTTGCCTGCCAACATTTGCATGTGTCTCTTTCATGCGACCAAGAAACCGATCGTTTCTACACGAGAAAAAAAAACAGCTGTGTGCGTTATGCGTTATTCAAATGCACAACACATCGCATGGAATTTCCGCGAAGGATGCGTTCAACTGAACAGGAAAAAAAACATTGCATTGCTTCGACTTTAGTTGAACGGATTTTTTTCATTGGGTGAACCGTGTCTTTCTTTTGCATTTTCCTCTATTTTTGCTTAAATTTGTCATTTAACAAGAAGAGCTAATACCGGGTGGTCGACCAGAAAACTCCAAAAATGTGTTGATAACGGATCAGAAGCCAAATGGAGCGAATTTCAAGTAAAAAAGGGTTTTTTAGATTTTTATCTTTCAACCAAGCACGTTGACTTAACACAAAAGGACCATTTGCACCGATAAATGTCCGCTTCGAATCAGTCTAAAACAGTGAAACACTTGAGGTAATTTTTGATCATTTGATTGGAACAAAATTGGACACATTATTAAACGAAAAAACGGCTCGGTAATTTCCAATGCTGAAAAATTCAACTACAAGTCTCGAGTATCCGTATCCTTTGTGCCTCATGAGAAATCCTTAATTTTACTTCAAAATCAACGTCAGTTGTCCATTTCATGAACAACGAATGGGCCAATTGACGTTCAAGTTGAGTTAAATCGAGTAAAAAATGCGTTGCCCAAAAAAGTCCTCGTCTTGTCTTCAAACGTTGGATCCTCATGTTGTCTGGTTGCGTAACCTAAACATATATCCACACACTAGGCGGCACACACACATGCTCACAAGCGGAGGCAATGAACGTTACATCGGTGGTGTGTATAGAGCACATCAACATCAGCATGCCTATGAAAATGCGGATTGAGCATATAGAAGTGAGGCAAAAGCAAAACCAAACAATACACAAAACTATGGGCTATGTTATGGTAATGCCGCATCGTCACTGTTTAGTCGTGTGAATGCAGTTGTTCGTTAAACAACGCTAAAGTACAAATGTTCGTTTATTCGTTTCAATCAAGTTCGTTTTCGATGTGTTTTTAGTCGTCGTATTGTCGTTGACTCTCGCACAAGTAAAATCGCGTGGTCATTTCTTCCGTTTCTGTGTTTGATTTTTTCTTCGGTGTGTCCTTCTTCGATTTGAGTTTGTTTTGATGTTGTGTATCGTCCTGTCTGTCGCTACGCCTAAAATCCGAACACATTTCTGAACTCCGAAACCGACAATTAAACCGAACAAGACAGGAATAAAACGTATTAGTGCAAATTTATCAATGTTTCATAATCGAAATGAATGTATTCATGTGTAAAGGATCTGTTTAATTTGATAAACGAAAACAATTTGAAAATAAAGCGGACAAACAAAAAAATGGTTCAAACAAAACAAAAACGCAACACCATTAAAATGCAGTCGGTTATTAAAAATGCATCGAGCTGTTCGGTATGACGGCACTCAGTATGAATGACAGCAAATATTGTCTTTTATTTGTATCGCATACAAAATTGGTTCACTTCATAGTTTCGTGTGTGTGAGAGAGAGAGAGAGCAGGGAAATAAGTACGGAAAACTGAACCAAAACAAAAAAAAACATTTTGTTGTGAGATTAGAAAATGTGCTGGCATTGGAAAAACTAAAAACTTGTAATACTCAGATGAGAAGCCAATAGAGAAACAACAGAAGAATAGAGAGAAAAAAAAACAGCATCATCATCACCAACAACAACAAAAAAGATTACTTAATCCGCGGCAATGATCGTGTATTTGGCACATCGAATCCATATTGAATCTATCGTAAACAGAAAAGTGGCAATCAATTTTCCTTTTTTTTATATGTTGACTGGGTGTTAGTGTCTCTCTCTTTCTCTCGCTGTGTGTGTATGTATTTGTGTCTGTTGAGTGTTCACTTTGTTTTATTTTATTTTATCGTGCAAAAAACCGGCGTGATTCCATTCAGGAGTTTCATTTTCCTCTTCCGTTTTTTTTTCTACCCTGCATTGATTCGTTCGTCCATCGACAGCAGGTCCGGTCGGTCGTTTATGTCTATTTGAATATTGAATTTTCCATAATATTGTACAACGATTGAGTAAACAAGATCGAAGCGATAAATTAATCGGATTTGCCATTATCTGCCAAAAGCGGAAGAAGAGAAAAAAGAGAGAGAGATTCAGTTTCAATCAAATGAATCAATACATGCAATTTATGAATAAGTGAACGAAACAGCAAAAAAAAAAGTTCATTTAAAAAACACACGCGTTTTTGTTGTTGTTGTTGTCTCGCGACACACACACACACCGACACATCAACATGAATACAATTAATTTGGTAAACGTGATAATTATAATTGGCTTTTTGGCGAACACCACATTCGGTAAGTTGCATTGTGTTTCTTCTACATTTTTTTTTTCTTTCATTCGTTTGGTTTTAAATTACGTTACGTCTGGAGTTAGAAACAAAACGATCACTTGGCAGCTAACTCGTCTATGGATTTTTGATTTACAAATATGAACGGCATGAATGTTTAACACCGGGACGACTGATTGCGTCACGCAATTTGTGTTTCTTGTTGTAATTTTGCGTGATTCACGCATTACAGCGAGCGAATTACCGATGGTGAAGGATATAAATTGAGGTGCTAAGAGGATATTTTTTTGGGGGGAAGTGGAAAAATTTCTCACTTTTGTAGGAAATTCTTGCGAAAATAGGAGGGAATTATCGTGAAAAAGATGAAAAAGTCGTAAAAAAGAAAAAATCAAAAGGAAAAAACACGACAACATCTCAAAAAAGGAGAAAAAAAACCAAAACAGAAGAAAAAACTCGCAAAAAATGACGCTCAAAAAATGTCTCCGTCCAAATATTATTCGAAAGAGGAAAAAAAGCATCGGAAATGCCATTCAGTCGTCAAATGTTGATGGAATTTCTGAAAAATGCATATATCCTAAGTACACTTGAAATATCCATCTGCATGTTTAACTCATTTTTTTTGCTGTCTGTATGTTTCTTAATTTGTTAACAAAAAATTTGTTCGGCCCTCACGACTGTAGTTCGGGCGGACGACGACAACGACGCACTTAAACAAAAATAAACAATGGGAACACTGGGTTTTGGGTTGTTTTAATTGAAAATCGCTTGTTATGTGATTTTTGTGGAAATCAACATCGTTCATGTTGGGCACTTTGTGTGCTACCTCCAACTATGCATAAAATATGCAAGCGATTGATACCGATCCCCGCCGAAATGTGCCCGCAAAGTGTTTTCTCTATACGGTGTGAATTATACGTATGTATGTTAATCGGAATCAAAGTGTTGTTGGGAATGGAAATGGTGTGTGTGTGTGTGTATGGCCCAAATATTCGCTTATTGTGACAAATTCCGTCAATTTCTATTGAATATTTGATGTGAATACATTTGCACATACAGCAGCAGCAGCAGCAGCAGCAGAAATAGTACGAATCCAACCGGAATATAGCAAAACAAAAAGCATTTCAATTTCTCTCTATAAAAGTTATCCACATCAATTAGTCATAAGTTAGCATACAAACTTCTGTGAAACATACACATCCGTTGTGCTGAAGTGCTTCTCTTGTTTATTCACTCATTCAGAGATCGACTCTCTCTCTCTCTCTCTCTCTCTCTCTCTCTCGTTGGCACAGCACTCGTTCATACATCGAATTCTCGTAAAATCTTCGTCTAATCTCCTTTTGGAAATTTGGGACAAAGAGAATATTAAGTTGTTGTTGGTTGTGTGTGAATGGTGAATGGCTTGATGCTATAACAATCGATATAGAAAATCTCGAATCCACAAAATGACACCAATACGCCAATAAATAACTGAATTCCGTAAGCTTAGATAAATACCAGGCAAAAATGGATTTTAACCCCGCCGCCGCATCAAATGGGTGCAAATTAAATTTCGGTAGCATATACCCTAACCGGAATTGCTCGAGATAAAAAGAGATAATTGAATGGAATAATGTGTTTGTGTTGTGCTGGGATTTATTCGCATTGAAAATAGTTTTCGTTGTTTGAACTTGCCATTTTCACACGCTCAGCACACATGCGTTTTTTTTTATTCTGTTGATTCTTCTTTGAAAACGAAGAATGAAGAGTTCAACTGTGAGGAGTTAGTCGGATTTTATTGCTTTGGCTATAAAATTTCGATTTTTGGTAATTCACACGCTTGCACATCATTAGGCAGCAAATTAAATCGCTACAATCATACACACACGCTCTTCCTTCGGCTTCGCTTCTCTCTCTCCCATCCGCTCTCGCGATGACACACTGAACTGACACAAAACAATGTTGTGATTCATTTGATGTTCGGCAAACGCGCGCGAGTGGTGTAAAATGCAGCAACCATGACTCAAGTGACATATGCTGAACATTAAATACACCGAAAATAAACAAGCGCCAAAGTGTCTAATAAATATCGGTTTGAGACTACGGTGAATGATACCATTTGAGAAAGCAAAACAGCGGCCATATCGACAACGACAACGATAGGGACGCGAGAGAAGAATGGAATTGGTCGATTTCTCTCTTGGCGACGCGATTCAATTAAATCGATGCGCACACGTGCCCTATTCACACAGCACACGCTCTCCGTGCGCGCACGTAACCCTCGCACATCGCAAATGCATCGTCAAATGCAATCACGGCCGTTCAACGCTCAACGGGGGAAACGGGCTTTTCGATCATAACTCTGCCATTACGTCATCGTGTGAGAAATAAATATGATTTGTGTTTGTTTTTTGCCGCATACACTCGTTTTACTCTCTCTCTCTCTCCCTCTCTCTCTCTCTGTATGGGTCGGTTTTTTTCAGTTTTGTTTCGGCAAATGGATATAAGAAATCATTCAAAATGATCCTTTTTGATGCAGACGACACAATATTTTTGCCATGTGAAAATAGTTTTATCAGCGAAGCGCATTAATTCAAAGAGCTCAGGAAGAGAGATGGAAAAAGAGAAAGAGACCGCGGTGCATGACAGTAGTAGGTGATTGTCGTACATCCATGCACAAACAAACGACGAATGGCAAAGAAAAAGCCGCGCAAACCAAACCAAACGAACAAAAAAAAAAAACACACCAGAAATCACCCATCATAAAGTAAGAAAAAAGACGAAAAAAAAGAAATGACTGCAATGCAACAAATTGCATACTTAGTGGCTTGTCTACGGCTTGTGTCTATGCCACTGCACCGTATGTTTTTCCACGGTGCTCTCTCTCTGCAACCATTTGCAGAAACTTCAAACGCTCTTTTCTCTCTTGTCTCCTTTTGTGCCAGCAGCTAATGTAAAATTTGTTCGTTAAGCTAATGCACAAAAATGTTCGTAGTGTTGTTTTTGTTGCCGCAGAAAATTTGCCATTTTTCACAAAGATTGACGGTAGTTTCGAAACGAAATCGGTCGCGCAGCTCCTTTCTTCGAACGCGGTACAATTCGACTTTTGACTTTTCATAACAAATTGTTACTAACAATTGCCGTCAATTTGTGACTTTTCGCAAACGATTGTTGGTTCGTCGTTCAGACAGCAAATGCAAATGGTTTGACCGCGAATTCGAGTTACAGGATTGAAAATGGCCCAGGCCAGAACTAGAGAGTCAGAGATAGAGCCAAACCGAAAACGAAACAAAGAGCATTATCCTAATATGTATATAATTTTATGTATATTTGGTGTGTGTATTGTGTGACTGGTTACCACATGCAATAACGTTTTGCGTTGCTGGCATTGCATGTTAAAAAAAAATTTCAAAATACACACCATATTCACATTTAATACACTGAGTAACACAAAAGCAGCGGGTCCGAGGCAAAAAGGAAGGGAGAGAGAGAAAGAGAAAAACAGAGGCGAACGAATGAACGAGAGTAACTGGTAGAGCCGCACCACCGGCTTATTCTTAACTGCTACTGCCTTTTGTATATTTTTATTTAATCTTTTTTTTCGGTTCTGTTCTGTTGTGTTCTCTCTGTTGTTGCTCTGTCGTTTATTCCATTTTATGAAAACGTTAACAAAAATTAACCGAAACGTAATAATGAATGTAATGGCTTTGGTAATCATATTTTCGTTTACTGTGTGCATGTGTTGCAAAATGTTTCAAACGGAGAGTAGAGAAGAAGAAAAAAAAACGTTCATATTTGCTAAATACTATTTAGAGAGGAGAGAGAATTGAATGTTGTTTTTTGAGAGAATTGAATGAACAAAAAAAAGGAGAATAAAGCAGGGATTAAATTTACTTTAATTTGATTTTCAAGTTTCTGTTTTCGAAGAGAGAGAGAGAGAGAGAGAGAGAGACGCCGATTGAGCAGAAGTGAGGCTGCCAAACAGATTTTCCGTTCAGTTCATTTTCGGTTGGTTTTTCTCGAAAGGAAATGTGTAAACAAGACACAGATTCTTCATCGGTGCGCTGTACCGCGCCGCTCGTCAAGACAACATAATAATGCACTATATACACTATTTGTTGCACTAATCTAAATTCTAAATTCAGTTTTCATGTTATCCGTAATCATGAGACATGATGGTTAACAGCAAAACCAAATTTATACCGAAAATCAAACACATACATTCTGTGAGTAACTCTTGCTCTGTGTTGCCATTGCACAAGATCATTCAAGTTTAAATATCAACAACATCAACTTCGTTTAAATATCGATCCATTGCAATTACAATAGGGAATATTGCGCTGATATATGCAATCCTTTTGTTTTTGGATGTGCACGCGCTCATATGTGTCTCTGTCACTATCTCTTTCTCTCTCGCTTGGTCTTTTCAGTGTTAAACAGCCGTTCACATATAGTCGCTATTTATCGAAAATGCGAGAGAGTAAGAGTGAAAGAGTAAGCAAGAGAGAACAAGAGAGAAGGAGAGTGTGCGAGAGAGAAAGACATCCGAGAGTGATGATTTACGTGTATATTTTAGCCCCCTTGCTTAATGCAGCCGCTTTATTTAATACTATTTAAACCCATTAGTTAAATTAAACGCAATCCATGACGTTAGCCCTTTTTTCCACTCTTTCTCTCTCTCTCTCTCTGGGACTCTTTTTTGATGACACAATGTGAACGTCATACGGGTTTCAGAACCAGGTGGAACCAACAACGCTTTTATTACTCCTTTTGTTTTGTTTTGAAGAGCTACATAGAGATAGAAAAAAAAACAGGCGATAATTGTAACCTTTTTGAAAGAAACACACCATTTTTCAAGAGAAAAACAATGAAAACACCATTTAATTGGATGAATGTCGTTGTTTGTGTCTTATTTATGGGTTTGAAGTGACTATTTTATAGTTTCCATCTCGAGTTGGCGGAGTGTTTTAGTGCCACTCGGTCTGGTTTTCTCTGGTGCGTAAGTGTTTTATGGCCTTTTCGCATTGACTC